CCCCCCCCCCCGATCATATGACACAGAGATTATCTTTACTTCCTGGAGGGGTGAAATTCAAAATAAGTAAAATGCAAAAATATGCCAGTCTGGAAAGGTTAAGTCACCATTCATATGTCTTGTAACAAATGAGCATTTGGATCTAATCTCTGAAACGCGACGATCTTTGGAATGAGTTCTTGGTCAGCTGTTCTAGCTTTTCTTACTAACAATTTTCCATTGTATTAATAAAGTAATAATTAATTTGTACTTGTTAACTGCTTATACCTAAAGGCTTCTGAAACCAGAAGCAGAAATAGATAAAAACAGTGAAAAACCTAATGACCTATACAATGACCCCAGAAGGAGTCATCAAAATGGGCAGCACCGTACCTAGACTCCTAGCAGCCCCAGGCAAACTGTTAGTATGGGACCCCCTTTCACCAGAGGTAATGATGATAATAATAATAAAAATTACCATTTGTGGGCCCCCTTTCTGTCCAGGCCCCAGGCAGCCACCCAATTCACCCACGCCTGTGCCCAGCCCTGAAAATGGGTGTACTATATAGTACCAATTAGTTTGAAAGAATTTAGGATTCTGTTTTTAAACAGCTACTAGCACGAACTTTTGTGACAACGATGCACTTGTCTGTTTGCCTCCATAAAACAGCCAAAACAGAAGCTGAAACAAATGAGGCAGCTCTTCCGTTCATCCCGATATGGTACTAAAACTTTTAACAGAACTTGTTGCTGAACATTTCATCAGAAACCCTGGAGCTATGAGACAAGTTTGTAGAGGGCAATCATCGCTTGCAAAATATCCAACCTCAGCCCAGGGACCCCCTCCCTCCCCTCCTCCAACCCCTGCAACAGCCCAACAAGAAAGCCATAAGCAAAACTCAAACCAGATCTTTCTGGATTCTTTCCCTGAAGGCTGGTGCAGAATAAATGTACATTTATTCTGGATTTTATGGGAGAATATGCCACCCATGATGGGAGAAGATGACTGAAACATGGGAAGACTGTCCATTCTAATATATTCAATATGAATTTTCCTAACAGATAGGAGGTTGGTAGGGAAAGTCCTCTGGCTAGATGGACGCTGTCTTTTGCTTTAGGACTTTACAAAGAATAAAACCTTAAAGTGAGCACACTTCCTTTGAATTGACAAAAGTGTCTTGGAAAGGAACTGCACTGAATTCCACTGCGTCTCGGTTTGAGGAGCATTAAATGCCTGGTATCTTCGAGGACATTGCTGTGTTGCTTGATGGGTCGACTGATTTGTGGATCACACCAGAAGATGGCATGAGTGGCCATCTGGATAACTCGTGACCTTCTCCTGGCCTTTGCTTTGACCTTCAGATACAAATCAATCACAGATTAGTGTCTGAGTGATAACCATGTCTTCGAAATGATGACACTAGTCGACAAGCTTATGCCAAATGCATAAGCTCGTGGAAAGTTAGTGTTGAGCCCTATCTTCCTTGATGCAGAGAGCTTGGAGCAGATGAGTGAAGAGGCACTTTCTAAGCCGGCCTCTGTCACAACAGTAATTATCTTTCCCTGTTTCCTCTCTGCAAACAATGACGCTGCCTTGTCAAGTTAGCGATGACCGCAGGGGCATGAGTCACTCTAATTGAAAGCAGGTGATGCTGTTTTCCTGCAAAGCAGGAAGGCTGTGAACTTGGCCAGTCTCCAGTACTCATGTGCCTCACCCCACCCTAGTCTGGAATAATTTCATCATACAGATTGATCTGTGTCTGCACAGCGGCTCTTCTGCCATCGCAAATGTAGCCTTGTGTCTACCGACGCTCTGCCTATCATGTTTCTATGAGCATTTGCTGGGGCATTTTGCACATCTGCTCCACACCACAGAGCTTTGTCAGCAGTCACCCATGCAAAGGACTACTGGGATTTCTTTTTTTGAAAAGAAAACCCCTCATCCTCCTTGCTCCAGGTGACAATTTTTTTATCATAGACACCTTGCTATTTCTTCATGCTACTGCATTTCCCAGCTTCTGAAGTTTACTGTTGCCAGACCCTTGCTTCCCTCCTTCATGGTCATCCTCACACTTACCTCCACCCCCCCCGTTCCTCTGATTGAGGTCCATGCTTATTTGGACCATTCTTTGTCAGTTAATAAAGAAAGCATTCAAGATCTTCACTTTTATTCAGTGTATTTACTGTCATCATAGCATAGCTGCCCAATGGATCTACAAAGAATCAGAGACCTACTACACCTTGTGCACCTAGGTTGGTGCAAATCAGCCTAGATGTTCTGATTCCAGGCAACAAAAGAAGGACCAGTCTCCACTAAGCTATTGCAGGTTTTCAACCATGCAAAACAGATGACTCAGCTAGGTAGGCAGTGGTGTGAGATCTGCCACCATGAAAGAAGCCACGGGCATTTTCACTCATCTGGCAGCTACTATTCCAGGTCGCCAGCATTGATTTCATATGGGAGATGGGGACATGAGAGGTTGGGCTCAGACTGACACTCTCATCCTGGGTGCAAGCGAACTGTGGGATACCCCAACAGCACAGAGTCATCAGAGGAGGTCTGCTGCACAATATTGTCCCAGGTAAGAGAAGAATGATCCCGCCTTGAGCGGGGGTTGGACTCGATGATTTCCTGACGTCCCTTTACTCTGATGCTGTTTCAGTCAAAGGTGTGAAAAGGCATGATGTCTGTCTGACAGCTGAGCTGGCAGAAGCCCGTCTTACAGATGAAAGTACACCTGCAAAACTGCACATCTACTCGTGTAGCTTGTTTTGCCTGTGGGTGTCGGTTTAGGATACAGGTACAAAGTGTGGTTTTCCTTGTATCAGCTGCACCCACAGTAGGAGCACCGCCAGCACAGTGTATTAAACCAGAACGGTATTCCTAATGCACATGTAACCTGAGTTTGAAGTGCTTTCAAAAACCAGAGGCAAGGATGTTTCTGGGTGACATCTTGTTGTTGGTCCAAGATACCACCCGCAAAAATCCTTGCCTCTCACCTATTTCCTGGACCATTACGGCTACAACATTACTCTAGCACTGCCTTTAAAAAACCCAACATTGTAGCAAATTCTGGAGAGAACTGAGCTGCTTTCCCACCTATAATGCCTTTAATCTGCTCAAGGTAATGGGATAGCAGCTTTTCAAAAAGGAATGCAATGCAGCATTCTCACTACAACACTGCCCAAGCCAACTAGTGACCTGGGTGTGTTCAGTCAAACATAACTGATGTTGCCTGGGCAGCAAGTTGGAAGAGCAAATATTACCGGTGCAAGGCATGAAACTAGATATTATGGGGATAGCAAAAACATGGTGGCAGAACGGTCACGTCAGTACGTTTCAAGAATGGCAAAATTCAAGGTAAAGGGGGAGGTGGGAACAAAACACGTAAATGATGTGATGGACTCTACAGGGGAAAAGAAAGGTAAGTATGGATAAAACCTTTGGGGAAAGATAGTGAAAGAGATTCGACTAGGCTACTCCTGATGGTCTGCTACAGAGCCCCAAGGTCAGATTTGACTATGGATAGAAATATTAGAGAAATGCTCCCGTGAATTGTCTCATGGCTTTAACTTCCCAGATGTAGTTCGGAGAAGAAATGCGAATGAGGATGGCCCTGATACTGCTGTATAGGAGTGGGTAAATGCCTTCATCAAACCAAGAACTGGACTAAGAAGAGATGATGCTATTTTTAGATTTGGTTTTGCTCAATGCTGCGAATGTTATAGAAGAACTGATTGCAGAAGCTACCATGGGCTTGAGTTCACTCAGTTAAAGTAAATAGAAGGATAAGCAGAAGTAGCTCTGCAAATAGCTTCTCGATTTCAAAAGGGCAAACCTGGATGAACTAAGGAAGCTGGTTAGTGACATCAGCTAAACAAAGAAGCTTGGGGACTTCAGTGACAAAGAAGCCTGGTATTTCCTGAAGTTAAAGTTACTAGTACTTTCAGGAATCTGTATACCATGCGAAGGGAAGAATTTGTAGGAAGGAGCTATAGAACTCACTGGATTAATAACCTCTTTAGGAAGGATATTAGGAATAAGCAGAGAGCCAGAAGTAATGGGAGAAAAGACTGATCAGCAAAGAAAGCTTTGTCTTTTAGATCAAGAAGTGTAGGTGCAAAATAAGAATAACCAAAAATCAAACTATGTGAGAACTTTCAAAAATAGCAAAAAAGTTCTTCACCCAAATAAATATGAAATGAAGGAAAGTAGCAGCGAGACCACCATGCGGTGAGGGTGGGGTAGAGATTACAAGTCATGTAGGTATGGCCCAAAACCTAACGAAGACATTGCCTCAGTTTTCAGTAAGGTTGTTGATGATGATGACAACGCTGGGCAAAAAATTAAGAAAGACCATAAGACTTGAGGATATAGAAAGAGAAATCATTTTTGAGCAAAATTCAAGGAATTTCATACATTCAAGTCTCCCTTTAGAATAACCTCTGAAGGAAAGAATCAAGTCATGGGCGTATGCTGAAAAGGGAGTAAAACGCAATAGGGATTCAGGATGGGCTATGCCAGACTAACCTGATCGCTTTTCCAGAAAAAGGTGTAACCTACTTAGACTTCATTAAAGAATTTGATAGTGTTACATGGGGAATTGTTCAATGGGAGAAGATGGGGGTTAGATGGGAGTATAACATAGGTAGGGAACTGGCCAAAGAGAAGATGGCATAAAGTTAGGGCTGCAAGGGGATGTATTGAACTAGGGAGATGTTAGCAGCACAGTTCCTCCAGGGTTGGCCTTGAGCAAATCTGTTTGTTTCCATTAATTACTGTGGCAAAGAAGTCGAAGTGTGTCGATGAAACTTGCT